GCAGGACAGAGTAGGAGAGACACTTGAACTCATAGGCACAGGAAGGAACTTCCTGAACAGAGTCCCAGGGTCACAACAAATTGGAGAGAGACTCCACAAATGGGACTACTTTAAAATAAAAAACTTCTGCACAGCTAAAGCTATCACAACCAAGCTAGAAAGACAACCAACTAATTGGGAAAAAATATTTACCAGCAATATATCAGACAAGGGGTTAATATCCAGTATATACAGGGAACTCAAGAAACGAATCCCTCCCAAACCTAACTAAACAACTACTAAATGGGCAAGGGAACTAAAGAGAGACTTCTCAGATGAAGAAATAAAAATGGCAAAAAAACACATGAGGAAATGTTCACCATCCCTGGTTGTGAAGGAAATGCAAATAAAGACAACCCTGAGATATCACCTTTACCCCAGTCAGAATGGCCCACATCCCAAAGTCAGCCAACGACAAATGCTGGAGGGGATGCGGAGAAAGAGGAACCCTAATTACACTGCTGGTGGGAATGTACACCTATACAACCACTTTGGAAAGCAGTCTGGAGGGTCCTCAGAAAGCTAAAGATTGACCTCCTTATGACCCAGTCATACCACTTCTAGGCATCTACCCTGAACAACAGGAACCAATATACAAGGACACGTGCACCTCCATGTTTATTGCAGCACTGTTCACAATAGCTAGGATATGGAAACAACCCAGATGCCCCACCACAGATGAATGGATCCAAAAATTGTGGTATCTATACACAATGGAATATTATGCAGCTATTAGAAATGACAAAATAATGGTATTTGCAGGGAAGTGGATGGAGCTAAAAGAAATCATGTTGAGCGAGGTAAGCCAAGAGCAAAGAGACAAACGGTACATGGTCTCCCTGATAAGTAGATGTTAAATCCAAAATGTTAGGTGATACGACAAAATTAACAGGACTTAAGAAGCAAAGAACTTCCACTCATCTGGTCGAAGCACTAGTAAATAACCCCATGCTGCTGATCGCATGTATGGTGTATATGTGTATGCCGTTATATGTTATAGACCGTGATAGACAATTTGCTCCAGGAAAGTTAGAATGAGTTTGTGACTTTAAATGAGCATCACTATCCCACAATACTGTGAAATTTGGGAAATTATGGAATCATTTAATCACAATAAAAAAAAAAAACACCAGAAAACTAGCAGTGGCGCTATGGCTCAAGTGGTAGAGCATGAGCCTTGAGCTGAATTGCTCAGGGACAGCTCCCAGGCCTAGAGCTCAAGCCCCAGGACAGACAAAAAAGAGAGAGAGAGAGAGAGAGAGAGAGAGAGAGATCTTTCATGCGATTGTTTCTAACTTATTTATAAGATTATGTCTTTGTTGCTTTGTATGTCCCTCCCCCATGGTATAACCCCTGCTTTCACTGTATTTGATATTGGTATATGTGGAGGGGAAGGGAAAAAAACAAATCGTTAAAACAGGGATACAGGAGGACCCATTGCAGCAATGAGATGTACAAGTAGTTATGTCAAAAAATGAACTTTACAACTTTGGTGGGGGGGATGGCGGGGGGGGGGGAGGATGCGAAGGGATGGGAAGGGGAAACAAAGGAGGAGGCTACAATGCTAGATAAGAAATGTACCATGTAATTGTAACCCCTCTGTACAGTATTTTCACAATTAAAAAAATACGTTTATTAAAAAAAAAAAAAAGAAAAGAGGCCTTAAGAAGAAAGCTATAGCCAAGCTGGAAGAGGGCCCCCGCCAGTCCCTGAGCATGCTAGTGACAGCCTGATCTTGGAATCCCTGCCTCTTGCCTCTTCAGCCATAGGGTCTTGTATTAAGTTGTAGCAACCTCCACTGACTAGCCAAACAACCTCATACTTCTTGGGTAGTGCGTTTTTAGGGGTCAGTTGTGGGCTTGAACTCAGGGTCTGGGCGCTGTCCCTGAGCTCTTCTGCTCAATGCAAGCACTCTACCACTTGAGCCACAGTGCCACTTCCATTTTTTGGTGGTTAATTACAGACTTTCCTGTCTGGGCTGGCTTTGAACCATGATCCTCAGATCTCAGTCTCCTGAGTAGTTAGGATTACAGGCGTGAGTCACTAGTGCCTGGCTAGAGACATCTTTTCTGCCCACACACAATAATATTTATTTCACAGATGTTGAATGCTTTTCACACAGCTCTAAACTTTTTTTTTTTACAGTTATTTAATGTCTTTGTTGACTTTTTTTCCCCCATCTACATTACATTACTTTTTTTTTTTTTTTTTGTCAGTCCTGGGGCTTGAACGCAGGGCCTGGGCACTGTCCCTGAGCTTTTTTGCTCAAAGCTAGCACTCTACCACTTGAGCCACTTCCAGCTTCTTCTATGTATGCGGTACTGAGGAATTGAACCAGGGCTTCATGCAAGCTAGACAAGCACTCTACCAGTAAGCTACATTCCCAGCTCTACATTATACTTTTTTTTTTTTTGTCGGTTGTGGAACTTGAACTCTAGGCCTGGGCACTGTCCCTGAGTTCTTCAGCTCACAGTGAGCGCTCTACCACTTGAACCACAGCACCACTTCCTTTTTTTCCCCCTTATAACATACACCTGCTTTTTGAAACCCAGGTCTGCACACTCAGAACCTAGGTGGGTAATACTACTAGCACCCCAAAAGCCCCTGTGTTTCCTCTCAGTTAACTACTGGACTTTGAATTTTTTAATAAACAGAGTGGTAAATAAATACAGTAAATAAATCCAGTAAATACAGCCCTGTGCCTAGATTTTCTTCTGTTTTGGTTATTGGTTTCACTTTATTATTTGCCCACTTTTAGAAGTCCTCTATGAGTTGTAGATCCTTATCAATGGACCTTAAGGTTGGCTATAATCTTTTGCTATTACAAGCAGTGGGAGAAATTCAAGCATGGCAAACCATCATTGAACAATTGAATGCATATTTAAATAGCATAATGAACCCTCCGTTTCAGTAACTATCAGCATTCTGCTGTTCTCGATCACTGTAGCTTATTTTTAGGGTAGGAAAATAGATTATGAAACTTAACAAAACAAGCTGGCCACTTGGGGCTCATTCTTGCAATCTTGATTCCTCATGAGGCTGAGATCTGAAGGTCATGTTTTGAAGCCAGCCTGGGCTGGAAAGTCTGTGAGATACTTCTCGCCAATTAACCAGCAAAAAGCCAGAAATGGAGCTGTGACTCAAGTGGTAAAGCACCAGCCTTGATTGGAAAAACTATGGGACAGCACCCAGACCCTGAGTTCAAACCCCTGTGCTAGCACCAAAGGGGAGGAAAACTTACAAAACATGTCCTTTGGGAGGACAGCACAAATAATATAATTCTTTAGAAAGACTAAGTCAAAGCTCAACAAAATTAGTGCCAGGAAATGGGTACTTGCAATGGGCGGGGCAAGGGAAGAGGAGTGGAAGAATGAAGGGTGAGAATGTATTGTATATGCCACCGAAGTGAGAAAGCAAGGGACTGGGAAGGTGAGGATATTGAAGGGAGCACGCAGAGGCATTGTATACATAAATTGCTTTACTAAATGGCAAAAATATTTCGATACTTAAATCCAAAAATTAAGAAAAGTGAGGGAAGGGCGGTGGGAGTGGTGGGTGCGGAGGCTAAAGGGGTGACATTGATCCAGAGGCTCTGTACAGTAACCTGCTTCTGTTGAATGGCAACTCCTTTGTGCAGCTACTTAAAATAAAAACCAATTCGAAGACTAGATTAAAGCTGCGCGTTTTGGAGGCCCGGTGGGATGGGCAGCTGCGCGAGCAGGGGGACTTGCCCAACCTCTCCCACCCTCACCTCCTCGAAAAGGAGGCAACTCCTACTGCGGGGAGATGCAGGGGGCACAGGGCGGGGAGATGCAGGGGCACAGGGCGTTTCCCAGCGGCCCAGGGAAAGGGGAAAGGGGAAAGGCTGGCCCCCAACCAAACTGCTGGCATCTCCTATAGAACAGTGCCGATGGTATGACTGCACTTGACAAGGTTCTTCCCATACTTTAAAAAGAAAAAACAGGAAGGGAGGGAGGAAAGGAGGGAGGCGGAAGGAAGGGAAGAAGGAAGGAGGCAGGAGGGAAAGAGGAAGGAAGGAAGGGAGAGAGGAAGGAAGGGAAGAGGAAGGAAGGAAGGGAGGGAGGAAGGAAGGGAAGAAGGAAGGAAGGAAAGAAGGGAAGGGAGGGAGGGAGGAAAGGAGGGAAGAAGGAGGCAGGAAGGAAAGAGGAAGGAAGGAGGAAGGAAGGAAAGAAAAAGGAAGGAAGGAAAGAGGAAGGAAGGAAGAAAGGAAGGGAAGGAAGGAAGAAAGGAAGGAAGGAAGGAAGGAAGGGAAGGGAGGAGGGAAAAACTGTAAGGCACCAGCATAACAGAGTGTGAAGGATTCAGCTCGGCTCCTCCGCGTTGCCGGCCACTCTGCGCGTTTCTCTGGTCTCCGGATCACCTTCTTCTTGGTAAAAAGGACCCTCCTGCACTGCAGGCCGACGCCGGGGAGATGCCAGGGGTGCGGGCCAGGGAGGAGGGGCGACCTCACCCGGGCCTGGGTCCCGGGGGGACCCCTGCCACCCCCCCCGCCCGTCCTCCAGCCCCGGCTC